TTTCACACCATTAAAAAATAGTTGGTTGTGGTTTCAAGTGCCCTAAATATTTATTTAGACGTTAAAAATGTTACGACATACGACAATACGACAGTTACGACACCTTGTGAACCACATAGTTATTCAAGGTCAAAGTTCACATAAATTGATTTTTACCATTTTTCAGCTAAACGGTAAGGTTTATTACAAATAGGTAACAAAAGTGTAGATCATGCAATTATCTGTAAAACCAGCTATGACATTTTGGTTCATAAGAATCACCATTTCTAGAATACAACCATTCAAAAAATTGTGTCCGCCTAAAAAAAAAGACAATGATAACTTCATGTCTTTTCACAATTTTTTTATTTAGAACTAGATTGCCTTCACCCTCCTCGATGAGTTTAAGAAATTTCTGAAACGGAATTGCGAAAGCAAGTCGAATTAGATTTATTAAACACGTGACCAACAACTAGTTTAAAAATAAAGCATTTTCAAACCCATTTTGATCGACACTCATATTGTAATAATTCATTTTACAGTAATACCCGCAAAATTTCAGCTTTTTGAAGTACTTAGGCTTTATGAAGTACTTATTTAAAAGAACCCGCTTAGGAACCTCGATGCGGGTACTTAAGCAAACATAATTATTGATGTAGATACATCTTCTTGTTAACTTGCATAAATATGTAAATCCTTGATTAAAACATGAACATTTATTGAAGTATACGTAGTTTAAAAACAAGATCGTAGCATTATCTAAACAGATAAACAAATAAAAAAATTGTAAACAAGTAAGAAAGTCTAAGTTCGGGCGGAGCCGAACATTAAATACCCGGCGCAAGTATTAAATACATATATGTTTTTCACCTTTCCGAAAGCTACCGCTACATGGTAAGCCGGGGTGTATCAATTTTGAGTAAATTAGCGTCCTTAAATTTCGAAATATTGAAGTTTCAAGCATTTCCGAAATTTACCGTTATATGAAAAGCGGTCGTAATTTTAGTCCGATTTCAATAATTTTCAACGTTTTTCTTCTATGTGGCAAGCACAATAACCACACCAAGTTTGGTACAAATTGGTAGAACGGTTACCGAGATACATATATGTGATCATAAGTGGGCGGTGCCACGCCCATTTTCCAAAACTTTACCATAAACGTATTTCTTGGTAAAGAATTGTTGCAAGCATCAATTTTGAATAAATTAGCTTTAATATTTACTGATTTATCGAAGATTTCGTATTTCTCTAAATTACCGTTATATGGGATGTGGGCGTGGTTATTCTCCGATTTTCAAAATATTCGGCCATTTCGTATGTTATATCAAGGCCAACAACTGTGCCAAATTTGGAAGAAATAGATGCAGCGGTTACCAAGATATACACATGTAACCATAAGTGGGCGTGGTTACGCCCATTTTCCAAAAATTTATAATATTCTTATTTCCTGTCTTAGACTTATTGTAAATATCAATTTTGAGTGAATAATCTTCAGTAGTTACTAAAATATCGCCGTTTTCGTATTTCTGAAAATTACCGTTATATGGGAGGTAGGCGTGGTTATTGTCCGATTTTGCCCATTTTCAATACCATCCGTCCTACACCCGAAAGAAGTACATGTGCCAAGTTTCGTTAGGATATCTTAATTTTTACTCGAGTTATCGTGTGCACAGACGGACGGACAGGCGGACGGACGGACGGACAGACAGTCACCGCTTAATCGATTTCTCTTTTCATTCTGATCATTTATGTATACATTTGTCTATATCTATCTCGATTCGTTTTGCCTGTTACAAACAACCGTTATGTGAACAAAGTTATAATACCCTTGTGCACAAGTGCGCTCGGGTATAAAAATAGCTAAAGCAATGGTATGTGAACGATCGGTGAACCAGTGGGTCGCAACTCCCGCAGTAGCACCAATGTTAATTGAAAACAAGTAAGAAAGTCTAAGTTCGGGCGGAGCCGAACATTAAATACCCGGCGCAAGTATTAAATATATGTTTTCCACCTTTCCGAAAGCTACCGCTACATGATAAGCCGGGGTGTATAAATTTTAAGTAAATTATCGTCCTTAAATTTCGAAATATTGAAATTTCAAGCATATCTGAAATTTACCGTTATATGAAAAGCGGCCTCAATTTTAGTCCGATTTCAACAATTTTCAACGGTTTGCTTTTATGTGGCAAGCACAATAACCACACCGAGTTTGGTACAAATTGGTAGAACGGTTACCGATATACATATATGTGATCATAAGTGGGCGGTG